TCCTCTATATTAGTGATCGACTTAATTAGTCGCAGTGTCTGAACTCAATCACTCGCTAATTTGAAACTAGTGCTTATTTTTAAATTGTGACACGTATACCACCGAATAATCGTTTTTCTTTTCGTTGCTTGTCGATTTGTTTATTGCGCTTCGCATCAACGTCACGACTTCGTTGTGAAATGTAATGTTATCGTTATATGTATGTAATAAATTTTATTACTCGTTTCGAAGTTTTGAAAATCGCGTGCGTTCCTCTACGTTGCCAACACTTGACTGTTTGCTGGTTTGCTTTGGGGCTATTGGCTTTTGCCGCTGTTGCCTCGGTGGTTGTGCTAATCATTCTGATTAAACGACCACTCTCGTCGATTCTCCATATATCGCACACGATCTTCAAAAGTGACACAACTCAAAATTTGGCATTTTTGAAATTATGCACTAAAAATGTACACAGAGCTCTTATTTACCTTTAAGCAAAAGCTGGAGCAAATTTTTGTTATAATTTTTGAAAAAACTAAAACCTTGCCCATATGATTAACATGTGCTACGAAATAGTTTTTCGCATTTTCCGAAGAGCGTATAATTTTGAGTACATACAAATATGTTTGTAGGAATCACTGAAATGGTGTTGCCAACTACACAGTTTGCTCAAAGCGAATTTATTTATACATGACTACTAGCTTTTGTCACCTCATTCGAGCTTATTTGCTGATAAGTTATCTATGTATATATGGGCTATGTAGTTAGTAACATGTTTATATTTGACTATTTTATTGGTAAGCAATATGAGTCACTATCTCCAACAGTTTTCCCTTTTCTGAAATTATAATGAGTTAGAGGTTGTCTGGACTTGTACTACATCGGACCATCCAACTTTTTTTCCGTATCCGATTTTATGAACAGTGAGTGGAAATTCTGAAAATATAATTTAACAAGTGAAGAAGTCTAAGCTCGGCGAAATTTTCTGTAAACTACAATGATAAGCAAGACTTTTTTCCCCGATTTGAAACAGTTTCAATAATGTGCTATTTCAGACTTATTGAAATAATTGGACTAAGTCTGGTGAAAATCAGTAAAGCGTTGACCGATATACACTTATGTAGTCAAAAGTGAGTGGTGCCGGTCCCATTTTTTTCAAAAAATCTATAATCTTATTTCTTGTTAAGAGAATGTTGTGAGAGTAAACTTGGAGTAAATTGGCGTAATTAGTTATTGGAATATCGGAGTTTCCGCATTCTGAAATTTACCGTTAGATGGGAAGTGGGCGTAAGTTTAGTCAAATTTCCCCAATTATGCAACGCTCCCGCAAAGAGCATGTCAGCCGTCCTCTGTGCCCGTGCAACCTTGCCTCTGGACTGAGTGTTGTTTAACGCAGGCCACCATATGGTGACCCCTTAGAAAAGGATGGGTCTTATCACAGCCGTGTACATTCAGTGTACTATATGTGATTTTAATCTCCATTTTTAAATGTTCCGCTTCCAGTCTAGTTTCATGTCTAAAATAAACCCAAGGTATTTAACCTCGGTTAAGAGAGTAAGTGCCGCTCGGTTTAAGGAGGGAGATTTTAATAAGGCCCTCCGCATATGGCTCGTCTCGTCATCGGCGCGACATGTATTTTTCATGCAGCGGCGATGACGATACGCTTACGGTCCGCATACAATGCGATTATCTATCGCCAAGAACGAGTTGTCGAGCAGCAATGATGTGGAATTTCATTTATTAAATTATCTTAGTTAAAATATAATTTACAAAAAAGTTCAAAATGGAAACAGAATTTATTAATAAATTAGTCCTCGGAAATTTGAAGGCTTGCTTTGAATTAAAGCTTAGTCTTTTGGCTACACGTCTTTGGTAAACCTTTTCGATTCGGGTAACGCGTTTTGACGCAATAACCCAAAATCATTGTACAAATAACCGAACCGTACCCTTTGCGGGAGCTCGTCGGCGAAGTTTACACATTTTATACTGAAATTAATTAATAATTTAGTGGCCAGAAATTTAAAATCATTGTTTTAAATTAAATTTCGATTTTTTGTGTAGTATGCCGCATACTGTATGCGTATATCAAAACTTTTTGATTTAGGTCACGCGTTTGGACACAATAACCCAAAATCAAATTACAAATAACGGTCCCCATTTATGTACAGATCGGTTAGATCTCTATTTGAATATTCCTGTAAATTATTATTATATAGGATCGCGCGATTTTCGATTAACGCATTTTTGTATCAAAACTTTTAAACACTCCGAAAAACATAAACAAACTGCAAGCGTGCTATCGTACGTGACGACAAGCAACCGACAATGCTGTACCTTTACCCTTATATAAGTAAAGTGTTTAAATTTACTTTGGTCTTCATTTTTGCCTTTTTTTGTGCGCATCTTTGTTTTTGTTTTTATTTTTACCTTTGCCTTTATACCTTTCTTTATCTATGTACGTACTCACCTTTACTTTCGTTCTTGTGTTGGTCTTTTTCTAAGCGTTATTCTTTAATCTTATATTAGCAAAAAGCACTTGTTTCAGTGCAACCATTTCCGTTGCACCATTGTCGTTGCATCATTTCCGTTGCACCATTTCCATGTGCAATTTCCGTTGAATTTGCCAATTTACAAACAAATTAAAAGTTTGCAATTTTACGTGTAAAAATATAAGTTCTGAGAATAAAAACAAGGTAATAGGTGGCACGCTGAGTAATCGTTTCTAAGTAAGTCAAGTCAAGTCTAAGTCTTGCATAACCCAGCTTTAAGACGTTTTTTACGTTAAAATATATAAGTTATAATTGAATGAATAAAAAAAATTTAATGGAAAAGTCCACCGGCAGTGGGACTCGATCCCATGACCTTGCTGATCGTTAATCTGAATTACTGCCATCTCTCAAGCCACAATTTTGATCAGGTCAGCTGCGCCGTTAATCGGGATCAACGTTGCCGTCTGTCTATGCTTTAACGGCAGTCTCAGGAAGAGCTAGATCCGGCATGTTTGGGCCGTAGGGAGAGGGATGTTAGGTGATCTTATGCAAGTGGGCATATAAAAAGGTGGTTAGTGTCGTCGGGCCATCTGGCTTCTTATTCGTCGGGCCATCTGGCTTCTTATTGAAATTGGACTGTGCAGTTAACCTGCCACCATATCCAAAATAGAGTTGTGCCAAGTATCACCAGCCTCACGAAGTAACAGAGCTCTTCGTCTGCAATAGGTGGCGTTGGTCTCTGATGATGGAATTCGAGTTTGACGAAGGGTTTGACTTATTCTCGATGAATTGCCTATCTATAATAGAGTATATCTGCATATAATAGACAAGAGTATGTTGTGTTAACAATGTAGTCTTGCTAACCCCATCTAAACCATTTTCAGCAGCCATATTGTAATTTTAGTCATACTTTCTAACTAACAGCAAGTGTTTACTATAGGTTTATCCTGTTTTTTCCTTATTTGAAAATGGGGAACCATTATTATTTCTTTTATATTTTGGAATTCGCTATTTTTTGAATAACTCAACCGGTTTTAGAAAATCCTAATAAAATAATAATCGAATAATCCTAATGTAATGTGGCATGTTCATAGATACTAGACAAAAATGACTTCGTCCCGAATGAAACTTGCCCGATTATCGTTTTCTGGCTAAAATTGTTATTTCAGAATTATTTTGTGTGCGAATTTGAGCATTTTTAATACATCCATATAAGCATATAGTTAAATATATAACTTTTTTTCTTTAGAGACTGATATTCTGTTAAAATATTGTACACGTTCTAGTTTTTAACGTTCATCCATTTACCGAAAGTGATCGCCACTTTCTAACGATCATACACGCCCAAAAAAGCATTGCAGGTTGGACAGTAATGTTCCACATTTCGTGCGCACTGCGTACAATATAACATGCCAGCGCAAGGTATGCAGCTGTGGACAAAGAAATATTAGTATGTATACATAAATATTATTGAACTGTTAATAAATAATCCCACATACAGCATTCCAGCGAGAAGTAATGCGATAATGTGTGTCTTCGATGATGCTCGATATTCCAGACGCGAGTTGACCTGCTTTGAACAATTGGGGCAGGTTAAACTGCAAGGAATGGGGCCAATTGGTGTTGACATGTTTTTCCAGTTAATGGATCAATAGTTAAGAGATCTGTAATTCGTAAAGAAATTTGAAGGTAATATACTATTAATGTATGTATATTGGGGTGCTTTTTTGCGGCATTTGTTTTTCACTGCTACCTCGAAATTTTGTGGAAAAGACCTAAAAAAAACTCCCTGAAAATCTAAACCCTTATTATTAACATTAAATACTCGCCCAAGGCGTGCAAAGATTTGCATTCAAAATACGCGTAAACGTTGATTGTTTTTCTTTATAATTCTATAGCACAGAGGCATTTTATGGTATAATCATGGTCAATGATGGGTTTTCTACTTGAATGTGGTTGTTGTAATTTAGCATTTTTCTACTAACAACAATCATTACACTGTGGATGTAGAAACAGCGGAGCAACCTCGAATTTCGTTGTGTTTTTATATTTTCCCGTACACCTTACTGGCGCGTCCGTTACCAAAAACCTTATTCATTGTTATAACTAGTAGGCAGAATATTTGAAATCCATATAGGTTTCAGTTATAAAGCAAGATTATTAATTTCTTTTAAAAAATAAAACCATTAGCCCCCGACAAATCGAATTTAAAATTTTATTTGTGTTCGAAATTAGTCGCGTCCGTAACCGTGGGAAAAATTCAATCAAATAATACACCAATAACTTCTTCCAGCAACGCATAAGCTGGGTTTCCCTTTCCTTGCACTTTTAGATTTAGCTCATTTCGATATTATATCTGAAGATGAGTTGAGTTTTTGTAGCCACTCAAATTCGAGGTGGACAATGCATTTTTCATTGAGGAACACCTTTATTTCACTAAAGCACAAAGCAAGTCGTCTCAATGCATTTCCTCTAGAAAGCCGACGCACTTTATTGTGCAGATGTAGTTCAGAGCGAGCCGCAGATAGCCGACACCTGGTCTAAGTCTAAGCTATGCAAAAATGTTCCAAATATTTTAGGTATTAAATGTTTTCATTGGTTTTCATATATCGACTGACATCTTATTGAGGTTGCTTATTCGTTGAAAAAATATTAAAATGCAACACACTAGAAGCTTGTAACCTAACCTTTTTTGCTAATATCATCTTCCATTATATCTTGTATTCTAACTCACCTGACGTTATAATTAATTTTTTGTTAAACTTCAATAAAAAAGAAACATAATTCGAGTATTTATAGGGAAAAATCTTTCACGTCCGTAATGAGAAATAGAAGACATTCTTTGACCTTCAATTCCACATTCAAAGAAAATAATTTTTTCTCCAAACATCGCTAAATTTGGAATATTTTTACATGCGCTAAAAAATCAACTTTTTTGTCGCGTCCGTACCGTTTTTTATTTGCTTGTATCTGTGTACTTAACTGTTTATACTTCCAAAAAATTTTGTTGAATGTAGCAACTTCCCAGTGTTTTGTAAAAGTTGTAATATACATACGATCTTTTACTTCTCTTCCTATTTTAAGCTTAGTTAAACCCGTGCGAATGTCGGTTTCGTAACCCAGCATATGCTCATATGCATGTACATTAGGGTGCCCATCGAAAAAGTTTTTTTTTTTGAAACTGCACGACCCTACCTCCTAATTGTATTCGTTTTAATGGGAAATATTATTGCCTATTTCTATAGATTTTTCAAAGGTCATTTAGAGAAATGCAAACTCAAATTGAACAGGTTGCAACAGCAACTATACAACAAGTAATTTTTAAGCAAAAAACAAAATCGGCTTCAATTCTCATATAAAAAATATCTCATAAAAAAAAATATATATATATATATTTCATGATTCAATGACCGGATCAAAGCCATATTAGTATGGAACCAGCTCTGAGACACTACCTTTCCGATGCAAAAAGAATTATCGAAAGCGGTTGACGTGGTCCAAAGTTATGCGGTTAAAAATAGGGAAATTTTTAACTGATCATAAAAACTCTACTCTTCTACACAAAAATATCTTTCTAACGGTGTTCTTGGTTTTAAAATCGATCCGGGGCAACGAAGGCGGAAAAATGTATGTTAGCGTATTAATATATAGATTTGTGCCAGTTACCAAGTATAAGATAGTCCGTAAATTTCACAAAAGAGGAAATAAATTTACTTTCTTCAAAAACATTTTAAAAGTTTTCTCACTTATGGCGTTCAAAATATGAGCTTCTACTAAAATTATTCACCAATAAATTTTTGAAGTAGGCAAGCACTGAGACGGTACCGAAAACAAATTTTTTTTTGTGCCACCCCATACGGGGTATTCTTTTTTGCGGATACGAGATATTGCGCTCCAAGGGAAATTTTTAATCTAGGTATGTATGTAGGTATGCTGCTTTAAAAATATAAAATTCTTACCAAAATATCTCAATTAATACTTTTTAAAAACCAAAATTCCAGCAACTATGTTCACCTAACGAAATTTGCGACTCAAATACGTCGTCCGCCTTGAACGCCTCGAAACACTTTAGTTGGTGTCGTAGAATAGATATTTGGTGCCAGCAAATAGTACATACATCAGCGGTTGTAACAGCGAAGTACTGTACCCATAAGTACATATGTACGCCCTTCAATAAATGCGCTTATTAAAAAAAAAA